CTCTGGTGCAAATTACTGACCTCTGTCATCATTTTAAGTGGGGGAACTTGCACAATCGGTGGCTGACTAAATACTTTTTTGCCCCACTGTATTTCTACCCACAAACAAAAAAATTGATTTATTAGGTGAAAAAGTTGTATTTCGATTCAATCATTTAAGTCAGTTTTTAAGCACGCATACCAAACATTTGATGGCTCTAGATTTTTTAATGTGAGAATTTGCTGCTTTACTTAAACTTGTGTTACAGTCAGCTGAACATTAGAATAGAATAGAATAGCCCTTTATTGTCATTGTATATGTACAACGAAATAAGGATTTTATAACTTGAGCAAAATATAAATAAATAAATATCCTAAAATAAAACAGAAGATTGCTAGAAAGGGAATAGAGATATAAACAACAAAGGTTTCAAACTTAAAGAAAGGGATGAGGAAGGAAATGTCGTCAGCGCATTGGTCAGACCTCAAGGATATACAGATTACATTTCAGTGAGTACCACTGAATGTAAACAGAAGTGTTGCTTATTTATAGGAAGATTCTGTCGGTGGTGCTGTTTCCTTTGTTCAGCCATGGTGGCTGACTCTTTTAATGCTGACATCTATCTTCATTTCAGCCATACCTTTGTTACTGAGGCGTCAAACATAAACACATCTGCTTTCAGTCTTTAAAGACAACGATGTCACTGTTATGATAAAAGGGTCAATTTCTGTAGTTCCCAATGTAAAGTGTGTGTGAACTCCGATAGTTAAGGTTAGACTTTTCAGAAGACACCGACACATTCACACAGTTTCTACTGTGTACTGGTTGGCCAAATCGACTTGTTAAAACCAATGAGTGTAGAAAACAGTCGTTGGTTAACGCATGCTGTTTTTATGTGCCAGTGACCGCTCAATTTAGGTGTATGTCTCCCCATTCATTTAGCCACACGTACACGGAGATTTTCCGTTTTCGTTTTAAAAAATAATCCCGTCCACACGTAAAGGCAGAAATGAAGGAAAACGCTGCTAGGAACATGCCAAAGCAGCAGGTGGCGCTATATTCCTAACCGTGCAGAAATGTTGGCCAATCAGAAGTCTAGAAGCCTCGGTGGGAAGAAGTAAACAAAGCTGGGGCATAGAAGCAGAACCGAGTTGTATGTGTGGAGGGACAGTAACTGTGTGTGTATATGTAAGCATTTAAACACTGCAGAGAGTAAAATTACTGGTAATAGTATTGTAGAAATTCATTTTACCGAAACGATAACGTGGCGCACAGTGTGACGTCAAAAAATGCGCACACCTTTGACGCTGTGTTTTCTGCCTTTCGTCAGTTTTTCTCGCCCACACGTAAATGCACCCTGGCCGGAGTTTTTAAAAATCCCCGTTTTCAGTGACCGAAAACGCTGTTTACGTGTGGACGAAAGGTGCAAACGCAGAGAAAAATCTGCGTTTTCAAAAATACCCGGGTACGTGTGGACGTAGCCTTAGATAGAAGCTTTAAAATAGCTCTCCAAATAAGGCCCTAGAGATATTACCAAGATGGTTGTCGAGTTGCATGACTTGTGTCTAGCTGTTGTTGTCTTGAGTCAAGGGGTTGCTGGTGTGTATCGTGGCCTAGGTGTCACAGGGTGAGAGGCTGGGTATAACCCGGACACACTAGAATCAACAATTAACCCAACACCCGGTGGTGCATCAGTTTTTTATGCCATTAATTTTTTATGATGAGCCGATATTACTATCTGTCAGGCAAATCATTTCATAATTAAAAAAGCAAAGAAGAGGTGGGAGAAACAAGAATGAACTTATTAAGCATTTAATAGGCACAAACCTTCACCTGAAGAAAGGTGCACAGCTTATTCCGCAACCTGATTGGACGACACTGATGATTTGGTGTAACTTATAGAAATCATGCTCGCTGATTGCGTTAGGTAGCTTTTGTGGTATCTAAGCTTTAAAATGATCTCTATGATTTGAAAAGCTCGCAATGGTTTAGATGGCGTCGATCTGGAGGTACCCGAATTTGCTCCGACAGTGTTTGGAATGTTCTGGATGTCAGTGTGAGGGAATTCCACAGGTCTTCCACTCAGAGCGGCGCTTTGAAGTGACCCGCTGACCCGCGAAGACCTCCAGTCCTGGACTTAAAGCCGTGTGTCTGTGACTGTCTGCCTAAGCGAGTGATTGTTTTACAGCCTTCATGATCTTTTTGCCATAAACCATTCTGTCTAAGAATGCAAACATATCTGCACTATTAAAAAGACAAGTTGCGTGTGAAGATAACGTAATGTGCATCATCTCGTCTTCAAAACAAGCTTTCTGAGTTTTACTGCCCCCAGCTGTGTTGAGAAAGCTGCCCTCGAAGCTGAGAGAATAAGTGGAGCCATATCTCATGTCCCATACATCCTAATCATCTGTTGAACTGGCGGTGGACCTCAGCTCAGCTCTGTAGATTTACTGGTTACTTGTGCTTCTGTGAACTTTTGCACTGACTACTCATGAGCCTCAACTCTGTGTGTGTGTGGGATTCATCCTGCTCCCTCGGCTCCGTCTTACCCCCCATTTTCTCTGACAGCTTCCATGCCCACCCTATGAGTCTTTATAAAAGTGTGTGTGGTCTTTTATTGTGTAATATATTAACCACTCACACTCTCCCTCCTTATCTGCTCTCAGTACTCTGGGGGAGGCTTGGGCCCAGCTGAAGAAGAGCCTGGCAGACGAAGCTGAAGTTCACCTAAAGTTCTCCTCGAAGGTAATTCATCAAACTCTGTCGGATCCAGTTAATAAGATAAGAAACCAAATATTAACTAAACATATTTTTCATAGTATTCTGACTGCCTGATTATTCACCACAGCCATGCCTGTCTATCTCTTAAAGCACAAAAGGGCATACAATAGATGCAGACAGGAAAAGCTTAGCAACAATGTGGCAACCAGAGACCACGGAATGTCTCAATAACAGGCAAAACTACCAGTGGCAACATGAAGTGGGTGGATACCAATACACACAAAGCTAGCATCGCTATATTATACAAGATATGTCCAGTGTTTGTTTTGTTTACAAAATACTGAATGGCTGAATGGATTCCTCCCCCGCACACCACAAACATAGTTTAGACCAAACCAGAACTGGCTTTAAGAGGCAACATTGTTTTCTTTGGCCAGGTTACATTCACAATAACAGCTTAAAGTTAGTCATGGTAAAAAAGAAAGAAAGGACACCCTAACCTGGTTTTAGCAGGTCTTAAAATTAGATTATATGCAAAGTGAGATTAACATGACATATTGCACCGTGCCATTATTTATTTAACACAAACTGGGAAAATGGAACATGGAAGTACATGGTGACAACATATTTTGACTTTTATACTGATATAAACGTAAATACATGCACAAAATGAGGGTGCTGTTTTTTGTTTTATTTGTGTTTCTCTTATCAGACTGATTAAAACAAACAAACAGTTAGTGCCTTCCACTCTGGACAGGAATCAGTTTGTCTCTGCTATTCAATTCAACTTTATTTATACACAGATCACAACAACAGTCGCCCCAAGGCTCTTTATATTGTAAGGTTGACCCTAGAATAATACATACAGAGAAAAACCCAACAATCATGTGACCCTATGAGCAAGCACCTTGCCGATAGTGGGAAGGAAAAACTCGCTTTTAACAGGAAGAAACCTCCGGCAGAACCAGGCTCAGGGAGGGGCGGGGCCATCTGTCGCGACCAGTTGAGGAGAGAGAAGGAAGACAGGATATTCTGATTGAATGCGACCTAGTTTTATAATATGTTATTTGTGTTGCATCACATTTGTAAAAAAAACACAACATTTTTACAGTTTTCATTCATTTGAGATCGCACGTTTATGAGAATGCACAAACAAAGGTCTAAATGAAGCTTTCTTCACTTTTTGTTTTGTTTTTTTAACCGACTTTGTTTAGCCAAAATTCAGTTCGCTTCTTCAGTCTGATGCGCTAACAACCAGACACTCAGTTTATCCACAGCTGTTTGGAGTACAGAGTACTGGTGTGAACGCTTCTGCTGAGCTTTCTGTTAAAGCCCATCAATTCCTCTTTTCCCCAGGCTCCTGCGTTTTTAAAAGTGGGTCATTTAAACCTACACTGAAAATAGGTTTAGCTTAGATAAAAGCCATAAGATGTGATCTAACCCAGTTAACTTTTTAACGTAACCTTCAGGGACCCTGAACAGTGATAAATGTGACTGTGGCCCTGTGATTGGAACAAAGAGACTTCCTGCATCTTCCTGTGAGCGTCTCTTATTCATAGAGCCAAGGCTCCTATTTCACCTTACAGTTACTGAATAAACTGGGGGATGTTTTATCAGGTGGACTAATGTTTCCAGTTGTTTAACCTCTTTAAGCCTTATGATGAAGAGGTCACACTGTATTTTATTGGCTGATCACTCCGGACAGTCGCTGCTGCTTGGTTTTACAGTACGTCCATATTGGCTGCGGGTACTGCAGCCTACAGCACACGTGACTCACTAGGCAGACAGACTGCCTTCAGTGACATAGAGTAAAGGGCTTCCTGATGGCTCTGTGGGCTGAAGCACATGTGTGTGACACAGAGGCTTTGACTCAACATTTTATTTATTGTTTTATTTAAAAAATTATTTTTAATCACGATTTCCCCTCAAGCAGAAAGGCCGCGGGAACCGGTAGCAGATGATTTATAAGCGAGGCATCTTCTGTCTTAAGAACTCAGTAATGCTCTCAAAGTCTTCAAGGGGCCAGCTAGCGCTCTTCATTTTCAGGTCGTTTTCGATGTTTGATGTCGAAGGAAAGAGGGGGAGACAAAAGACAGAGGCCAGGATTCCAGCTGGAGCGATGGAGGAAATGGAATCGGTGATGTTATCCTCCAGGGATGCACAGATGTGCGGCACTTTTCCAGGTTCTTGGAGGAGAAGGAAGGGTTTAAGTGGAAATGAATTTTGAATGACGGTGTGATTGCAGGAAGGAGCTGCACATCTCATTCATCACTGACAGCTGGGACAGGACACCACATTGCATATTACCAGTGACGGGCCTGCTGCTGGCATTCAAAAATAATACGGCCTTATCAGAAACTTAGATCTGGAAGATGTGCTGTTAACTTTAAAAGCCACTTTACCAATAAAAGATCAAGCAAAAAGAGAAGCAAATGAACGATAACAACTGAGATTCTGGTTTTTGCTTGGCTCCTTCATATCAAACATTTGTGATCTAAAATAGCTCAGTGTCAGAAGATGCTGACATGATATATGGAATGCAACCAGAGCGAATGGAGCTAATTAAGGTTCTGGATAATTAAATCTGATAAACACAGAGGTGATTAAAGGGTGTCCCTTTGTGATTAATCACTAGCATTACTGTAATCTAAACTCTATAAACCTGAGTTGCTCTTGAAGAAGTCATTTTATTGAAACTTCTCATAATGTGCATTAACAGTCGCTGTATTTGTTATTCGGTGCATAAATCTGCCTGACACATTTGTTTTCCCCTTCAGCTACCAGAATTCTGAAACCAATCAAAGTACCACATGGTTTTGAGTAGTGAACACTAAGTCACGAAGTGCTAAATGAGACCAAACTTAGCTCTATTTTTTATCAGTGTCAGGACATACAACGGACCTGAGTGGCTTAATGACTTTTCTATGCGTTATTTTGTAAATACGGTCATGTTAAAAAATGACATAACAAATGACATATTACACTATCCTTATTCATTTAACAGCAACTAAGTATAAATGCAGAAGCAGATGGTGTGAAATTGAATTGAATTGAAATTTATTTCAGTCAACAACAACAACAACAGATTATAATTTTACATAAAAGTACTCAAACAGTAACCGAAAAAGGAATAGGCTGAAGCCTTATGGCTTATACTTATCCTATCCCTTACCCCCATAGAAATAATCAAATCCTTAACCAAGAAAATAAATAGCATAGCATGGTGTGAAATGTTAAGTGCATCATGTGATTCGGTAGCTTAAATAAAGTGAAGTAAGCCTTTTCTGTTTGACTTTATGAGTCTCTCACATCATTGTGGAGGAACTTTAGCCCACTTTTATTTGAAATGTTGCTTTAGCTTATTGAGGTTTGTGTCCACTCCCGGGAGACTTTCTCCTTCTGTGAATAATCTTCCTCACTTACATTTTCTGTGGTTTGTTGTTGATTCAACAAACCAAAGTCTAGGAATGCTAAACTGTTTTTGACTAGCCAAC